TGAAACTGCAGATCAAACGTCTGACCCTGATACTACATTTTCTTTGTACGCTCAGGTGCGTACCGTGCTTCCAGCGAAGTAAAGTGAATTGCCCAACGGATGTAAAACATAATTTTATTTATCCCATAGCGTTATAAAAGAATCTTCTCAAAACCGGCCTTCGTACGGCTGTGGCCAGAGATTAAGCTTTCAAATGATTACTAACACTTTTATGAAAAGTTTCTTGCCCAGCAAATTGGGTCGAATATTAATCTGTCAATGTGTCAAGCTAAAACGAAGGCGAAGTCGAGTTGATCTATATAGACTTACAGTTGTTCAGCTGAAATGACCATACATTCCTCAAGATAACTATTGCGAAAATAAACAAAACGGTCGCACTCAAGGGAAGCCTGAAAGTCGTCACATTGTTGCTCACGGATTAAAATGTTACAGGAAGGGTGGAAGGGTATCAGAGTTTATTGCTATTATCACAATCATCCATGAGAGATTACAAATCCAGAAGTCTCACTCACAAGGATGGACGTCTGAGTCTCTCAGTGGAGAGTGTCATAACGAAATACACAGCATTATAGTAAATTGAGATTTTTGCCAATCCGATGTCAGTGTTGTTGCATGATCTCCAGGTAATATGACCATCTCCTGTTTCATCCGACATTACACTTCACGAATGAAGAAGAGAAACGCGATGTTTGAACGACGAAATGTCATAACTATCCCAAAACTGGGATTTGTTCGATCATTGATATCTTGAGAAGAGCCGTTACTTACTCCATCGACGAGAATTACGGTCTTCTTGTACATTATCGTCACATTAGTGCTATAGAAAATGTGAGTGCGAAACCCCTCGAGAAACTGCTTTCTCTAAAAGCACTTAAGCTTATATGTCAAGGTGAAATCGCTCGAGCAGCAAACAACCAATAACTGGCATCCATATTTGCAATACGCTGCAATAAAGCGACAAGGAAGATTGCATAGAGACAAAAACAACAAAAAGCGTCGGCATTTTTGATTGAAAAGCAAGCGTTACACATTAGAACAACGGTTACAATTGGATAGCAGCTTCGGAGACAATTATCTAAAAATTTATTCTGAGTCTTTTATGAGGTCTGTAATGGGCACATTTAAAATGCCAGACGCATGTTTTGGCCCTTCAGCCTCGTTATTTGTACGCTGCCTTTTCGTTCAGTCAGTTCCTCGGGAACTTGCCCTTAAATAGGAGGAACTGACGATGAACTTTTTACGCAATGATTAGTCTGTCTGTAATATTGTTGTTGGATACGTCCAATGTCAAATTCGAAACGAGTAGCGAGAGCGAATGTATAACAGAATGATTAGAACACAATGTAGAACGAGAAATGCAGAAGGGAAAACATAACGAGAACGGAGACCATTCTGCAAGACTCCTGCCGCTTGTACGCCCTTAATAAAGACTAGCGTCTCGATAAGGAACTAACCGCCGTTGAAGTGAGTTATTCAGTGGCGCGACAATTGCTGAGGTTGATCATAGTCCTTGCAAGGCACAAAGTGGTGCCTGTGTGACATTCAGTGGAAATTAGATTCTGTACGGGATCTGATCACCACCCTTCACGTGCAAAGAATCGACCCAACCATACGCTGAAAGGGAAATGAAGTCATCGTCCAAAGAAACCATACTAGTCGAGTACGTTGAGGATGTAAGAATAAAATCCTCTCTTCATATAGCAAACCTCCCAGTTTTGCTATCTTTTCGGGAATTACATGGTAATTTAGGCAACGCAAATGGTCTACGACCTTAGATAGCAAGTGGTATCGCAGAGGTTCGAGGACCTTAGACAGAAATGGTCCAAGTGACGAGGGCGGCACTCAGCTGCCACCAACCTCAACAGTCAGTTCGATCGCGGGTCATCATCCGTACGGTCGTCTGACGTCACCCGGACCACCTCACCTCAAATCATAATTGACCATCATTGCTCTCTCCACAGAATCTCGTTGTCTTGTAACTAATTGCTATCATAAGGTTGCATTCATACAACTAAGATGAATTCAATTGAACTGTAAGCGGAACATAGCACTTCCGTTGCGGAGCAAACTCACTTTGGCCATGCTCGGCCCACTACCGTGGTTTAGGGATTTTGCCCATATCTAATCACTAGTGACCCCACTGCTATTACTATATACTCACCCACTGGATCTCGCCGCCGGTGTTTCTACTTCGGGGCGAACATAGCAACCCCAAACGGTCGCCGCCGCTTAGTCATGCTTCGTCAATAACATCGTCAATCACAATAACATTGTCACTTGTCATAACAATGTCACATGCAATGACATTGATCACTTACAATAACTCGTCAGCTACAATAACACCACTTGCCATAACTGTCGCTTACGATTACATTTATAGTGTCGTCTCATCTTCTTCTGATACTTCTCATCAATCGGTCACTCATATTGACTTACGCAAATGTTCGCATAACGATATGTCGTGATCATGTATACATTATATTATCTTTATAGTAATGTATGTATATTATAGGTTGTTTGGTTCTACCATATGTTTGGTTCTACCACATTGTTGGGTTCTACCACATTATTTGGTTACCACATTGTTTGGTATCACGCCATTGTTTCGTTCCATCCTATTGTTTTGGTATAATCCATACAAAGGATTTAAAATCTTCTCTCTTGTCCGTGCGAGACACAAATCGGCAGCGGATCACAATAACAAAGCCACTGAACCTTCACCACACCTCATATGAGGATCAGATATATGGCGATGCGACGAAGACCAAGTCTTCAGGCTCTAAATTTGCGTTTGAATTAGATCATTTCTCAAACAAGAAATCGAGATGCACCTCCATTACTACTAATGCTTCTTGAAAGAGGGAAACTGAAACTTAATTCCACTGCGACACAATTGACTTTGCCACTTGCAGTAAGTCCTTACTGGAAATTCACATCGCTAAAAGTAAAAAAGTCATTGGAAGCGGATGAGCAGAAATCGTGTCTGAAGAAATGTCATCGAATTCCTTGCAACTATAATGTTCTGATGTCCACCGTGATGAGCGAAAATGGGATCACTACAACACTCCGCCACCATATGGGTTGATAACAGATAATTATGGAACAACCTATGTGGTTTCACAACCCCACGAGGTTCTAACCTCTGAAAATTGAGTTGCGAATGAATGCATGAAGAGAGGCACAGCTTCGAGATGTGATAATGTCGCCGCCGATTTGCTCCAAGCTGGGGGCCACAATCTATAAATACTTCTCGCATAGCGACATCGTCATTCTGACTAAGGGAGCGTGGAACAAGGAATCCTTGTAACTACCTCCAATGTGCTTGTTGAGTGTACTCTACAGTTCTTCTTCTGTGTCCTGTCGAAGATCTTGGAATAGACCATCAGAGCAAGCACATTTTCGACAAGGATTCTGGTGCAAGTCACATCATGCAGTGTCACGGTCACTGAGGTTTGTCATTAGTATCATTGTGCCAACTTTTATTTATAAGTTAATTATGTATCAATTGTTCTAACCTTTTTAGACCTATTATATCACAAAGATGTTCACTGCCACAGTGCGTGCCTTATGAAGACGCTCGATGCGGACCGTAAGGCATAAGTTGTGAATATCAGACCTTCAATCACCGGACGATTGTTATCTTTTCGAGGATTACCAGTGAAGCGAAGCGCTGCCTATGAAGTCAACAAAACGGGAAGGAGTGGTTGACTGATAAATAGGGCAATGACCCGTTCCATTAAGTGCTCATCGTGGGAATGTGAACAAGTCGAACTAGGTGGCGTTCTGATTACTAAGACTACCTTACACGTTTATCTTAAACGTTCAATGAATATGGGGAGCAACTTGAAGGAGAAAGTCAACAGATAAGGGAGAACGGTATAGTGTGGTTTCTGGGCCATCAAAAGAAGCCACCGATCAGATAACGAGTCCTAAGTTCCGTAATACTTTGTAATTGTACACTCCTCTCAGCGCTAAGTTATGCAGCGGAGACATGCGCTATCCTTCAGACAGCGCCTACTCCTCATGATGCCCGTGCACGTTCCACACTGTGTAGGCACTCTCCACAGTGTCACCTCACATCCATTCACACGTGTATACCACCACCGCGTTACATTACATATCTGACATGACCCACTCACACGGAGGTTAAACGAAGTCTTACAAGATTTCATCAGTTTTCAAAACGTCCGAAAATATACACAGCTCAGATCATCACAACTTATTTTTGCACATTGTACCGAAGCACATACGGAACAGCCACACTGTAAGAAGAAGGGATGGCAGACAGACGAAGACAGTGGAGTGGACTTCAAAAAATGAGAAGCCTTTCTTTTGGACGTCCCATCATAGCGACATGAGGACGTGGTTAAAGTAACCATCTTCATCTGCAGATGACCACGAGTTTAACCAAGCTCAAGGAGGGTGTCGCCTGCGTCGCCATGCTCGAAACAGATCACCACTATGAACAACAATTGCGCAAGAAGAAAACAAATGGAAATCAAGCTGGGGCCCGCACTACCAGTAAAGGCGATCGTCATGTGCACAAATAAGTAGGTATGATAATCTGTAGAATCTTTTATTTGACCGCCTTGGCCGTGTATGATATCATATATACCCGGCAAGAATGATGAGCAAAAGCTGTTTGCGTCAGCTGGGATTCTAATCCACAATTCACCTTGTCCGGGGCGCGTGCTGAACTGCTGCACTACCGACAGCCGTTTTCTGGCACCACTCTTCTACGTCACAACGCTTCTATCTGTCAACGGCAGACCGTCCCACGGTCTGCCATGGGTGATTCGCTGTCAACACTGAACCACTGATGCTGACAGATATTGGGTGTCGATAATCAATCAGAATTCTTTTTATTTGACAGCTTTTAGGGAAGGTATGATGTTATAATATACCCAATGGTAGAGAATGATGTGCAAAAACTTTTGCGCTAACGGTTGGCTGTTGAGAGATAAGACGTTGTGGCGTAGAGAGAGTGGTGTCAAAAACGGGTGTCGGTAGTGCAGCGGTTTAGCACGCGCTTCTCCGGATAGGGTGAAATGCGGGTTCGAATCCCACCTGACGCAAAAACTTCCTGCGCATCACTCTTTACCATTGGGTATTGATAAGTAGGTATTGTTCTTGACTAAATAGTGTCATTCAGTATGACACAATAGAAAGACTATAGGTCAGACTAACGATTACTGTGTTGAAAGTAAATTTGTAGCTGTGACAACACCTCTCAGATTGATAATTTGAGATCATCGCTTGAACATTCTATCAGATTATATTGTAGTTTCGGGTTAGGTCTCAGAATAGACGATTGAAAGATATTGTTACGTACGCTCGGTAGACAGCCGTGAGCCATGCAATCGACAATCAACCACTCTGACCGAACGCGACATTAAGTGATCTTTTCACTTGACGTATGGTGATAATCTTTGGCGGCGACTACTATATTAGTTGAGAAAGCCGCAGGGTATGCGGTACTGATGAGGCGCGCGGGAACGCCGAAACGTACGCATACTCCGAGATGCCATATCAGACCTCTTCAAAGCTCTAGAACATTCCATCAAAATAATTTGCAGATGTTTGAGCAATTTGTAAACTACTGTTAAAGCAGCATCATTTCAACAGTGTGCTGTACTGGCGCAACAGGATAAGAGATAATTCGCATTAGATCGAAATAGTAAGTATTAAATAGCTTTTCCCATTGATACGATCTTTCTTTAGGCTAGAGTTTGGCATAATCCCATAAACAGTATCCTTTCATAAGATCGAACGGTTTTATTTGAGCTCAGAGAGACGTTTCGGCACTATTACTGCTATTACACATATACACACAAACCAACATTTCACTCGAACCGCGATAATCACAGATTGTGCTATCCTGGCACGTCTAATTATAACGGCGTATTTATATTTTAAGAAATGTCTAGCTTCGAAGATTGGTTGTTACGTATTCATAATTCAACCTGAGAAAGCCAAGTACAAGTTTTTTGGGTAAGGTTTGCCAGTTGACTAACATCTGATGCTGTGCCTCCATAAGCAGTGCAGTTTCCTCACCGGGTACAAGGCTTTGGTTGTTTGAAGGAGTTTCACAAATTTTTCGAAGACGATGAATGCTGTGTTGGTGCAATCGGTTAAGGAATATTTTGCAATGATCAGGAAAATTCAAAGGTTTAGAATTGGACTTTTCTGTAGGACACCAACTTTGCGATAAGCCGACGGTGTCGAAAATTTTGCGGTCTCTTGAATAATGTGTCACTGTCTTCATTTCTGCTTCAGTTCTGTGCTATTTTATAAGCACTTTGAGGAATAAACTGTTCTATGCAGCATTTTGTGTTGGTTCTTTCTAACGTCACTATATATGGCGAAGAATTTATTTGGTCTTTTTACTGCGTTTTTATTCATTGAGTATTTGGTAAAAATAGTATTTCTATAATCAGTGAGTGCAACGTGCAATCAATAATCTTTGCCAATGAATATGGTTCATTTGAATTATCCGTGCAGTGATCTGTTATTAGCAGCAGTAAAATAATCAGATCAAAAGCGTTTCCTTCTCATCACTTAAACCCATTTAGGTTTTGTCATTGTATTTCTTCCGCCAATCTCACCAGCTGTCTGCTGTTCCGATGTTCGTCTGAGAGGTTTTGGCCTTTCAGCCACACTCATTCTTGGTAGATTGGAACTTTGTAGAAGGCTTCCCGTTTTGATGAGGCTCGGTCTTGAGCTAGTAGACACCTGAGGCTTCAGCAGAACGTCTCTTCTTTCAGCATTGTTTATAGGCCCGGCTCGCAAAAGCAATTCCTGTCCGACGTGATTGTGAACCAAGATGATCTCGTGATGCCCGCTGTTGAGTTCCCATTCGACGATTAGACACAGATGGTAATGATGTACTCGGCGATGTCCGTTCACTTAAGGTAACCCTCGACCGTGACCTCTGCTCCTTTGCACTCTTCGTTTCTCTATCAGTACATATAGCATGATATCGGCACGGTAGATTTTGTTACAGAATATCCTCCAGGTTTACCCGCTTGAGATGATGAGGAAACATTTGGCAACTTTCCTGTAGACGATTTCGATCCACTTTGGCGACTTGATGCAGAGGAAGAAACCTGAACATATTTCTATTAGTAATCAGTGATGCTGTAATATTTTCCAAGTTGATTATTGACCAATAAAGAATAGGATGTGTTTGACCACATTGTAATATTCTATGCTATACACAACATAACATATAACTGTTCCTCTAAGCATACACGGTGGATTTTCTTACACAACATCTGCGAGGTCTGCCGCTCAAGAAGATGAGGAAATACTTGGTGAGCTTCTTGTGGACAATTTCGACAAGGGAAAGGGATAGTGAAGTGGTCAGTGGTGCAATTCACAAGTAAAAAAGTGGTGATTCGATCCTCTGCCCGAAAACTCTCATAATAAACCAACTGATACGCTTTGGCCACCTCTATAACAAAAAATTTGCCTCGACCAATTCTCGACATTCATAAAGAAGATAAAATATTCAAGCAGCAGCCGAACATCATGTGAAATGTTTGTGAAGAATGACTGGGGAGGATCGAATTTTCAGTTGTCGAGGTATTAGCACTGCCTCAGATGTATCAATAATTTTCTTAAAAAAAATATAAAGTTATATCAATGTACACACCGGCAATAAGGTTTTATATTGAGTATTATAAAGCTTCGACGACAACAAAGTAGAAGAATCCCGTTCGGCTTGAGTTAGACTTGAACTTACATTCTAAACAGAAACATTGCTTTGGCTGACACATTGACTAAGTAAAAGCTGAGTTCTGAAGCCAATACTCGGTACTTTACTATTTTGATGCAAATAAACAAATTTCATACTATCTCGTAACAGATCTCAAGAGATCCTACAACTTAAGTGTAATGGAAATCCAGCCTCAAAGAAATAATTGGGGTACCTTCTTTACTGGAGTAGGCTTCAGCAGCCTCGTAGGCAAATGTGGTTTCACTGTCAGTGATGACCGAGTTTGAGATGACAATTCGACAGCGCTTGTTGATGGCTGACGTGCCTGAAGAATTTGGATTATGCAACGGTTACCTTTTCCTTGAAAAACTCTTCTTCATCTGTCATGGCTGACTGATAAGCTTAGTGCCTTTTACACTGTACGTTCGTTGACCGAACGCCTATCGGAATTTACCCGTTCTTATAGAACATTCTTACGTATCAAACATAACACTTTTCTATTCACGTATGTTACAAACTATTCACGGTCGATCATAAAACAACCGATTTACTGCCATATTTTATGTACTCACCGTCAGATCACAAAATTGAAACATGGATAGTCGTTTTAGGATATTCTACCCAACCCTCACAACATTTTTCACATTTATTAGGCAGATTCCAGTACTGCTAGCAATTAAATCGTCTTCTCGCATTCATCACTAAACTGAGGATTTCGGCTTTTTTACGAGCATCTCAGAATGTTGGTCAAGCACATTTTTTGCAGTATTGAGGACAGCCAGGTTGGGGCGTGTCTATAGTGCTCGTCGATTGATTGCTGGACGCTGAGGTGAAGGGTGGGAGAAAGATAGACCACGCACCGAGCACCACCAACCGCTTGGCTTCTTCACCCCTCCTTTCAAGGTTGAAGAAACATTATGCACGTTGTTCTTCGATCATCATTCGAAAAGCTGAATTTTCGTAGCTATCATTGGAGGATGACCATGTGCTTGACTTTTGCCTTACTCAGATTACATATTGTAGGGCTTATCGTCAATAAGCGGGCATGTAATATCGAAATGACAATTGCGACGACATATTCACTAATTCAATGCCGTATTGAGATATAATCACGCTTTAAAAGAGGTTGTAGAGGTATACTTCATGAATGATTTTCCCATTTACGGCATTGGAAGTAGTGAGTGCTTCGTTAGGACACCTAAAAGCACTCATTCCAGTATTGTAATCGGCATTTTATCGGCAGAAATTGCAGACACTCGTCAAAACGCCTAGTGCTTCTTGCTCACCTCTTACATTTCCGATATATTTCTCTTGATCACTGTTTTTTGTGGGCATAGAGTTTGGAGATGACTTGCTTTGTCTCAACTTCAAACAGTTGCCACAATGGTGTATCAGAGCGAGTGCTACTAGGAATAGTATACATAGCCTTAATCGTCGTGATAAAACTCAGGCCGCTCACCTATTCATTCCGCCTCAAAGTGTGAATCGCGATTTGAAGCGTTTAAGCGCTCTATTGAGTCCAGTCTCTACCTACAATGATGGCCAAGTAGGATGTGCGATGCCAAGTAGGAAGTGCCAAAAGGTTTTCTGTGAACATCCACATGACTATGTAAAAGCCTCTACTACGCCCTGATATGGAGATGTAGGCTTTAGAGATACAGAGATCGTACTGATCCTCCTCTAAACCACAGGTGTTCAACTCAGTTTTAGTTGCTGAAGGAATCAATATCCGTGGATAGACTCGTACTGATGAGGATGCCAGCGTTGCCGACTTTTGCTTGTCGTATACTGCGAAGATTCTCTAGTCTCGTGGACGGCTTCTGACTGATGAAATTCTCTCAACATGTAAACGGTATCTAATAGATGACGTCTTCTCGTGTTGAACGGTAAAATGAATTCATTCCTAATCATCTTAAATCGTATCAGCATATCCTGCAGACATGATTTACATGTTAATGTGAGCATGCTTTTGAGACTATCACCGCAATCCATCTAAATTTAGACTGCCTAAATTCGTTCCTAGACCGTGGACATCTAGAGTCACTGCTACAGAAGTCGGTAACGAGATATAAGGATTATGCAGAGCAGTCTTATGTCATACTGCGGATAAGTCGACCAGATCCCTGAGTCGCAAACTTATAGACGAGAATGCGTAGTATTGAAGTAGAGCAGTGATTAGTGATGCGGTTTATCAGGAAACAAGGTGATTAGCAAAGCGCTGGCTCGATTCCTCACCCCACCAACATTCTCCTGCAATCAATCGATTGTGCGCTTAAGAAAGCGTTAGCTGGCTATTTCCGAGATTGCAAATAGATTCGTCTCGACCAGTATTTTACGACATTCATAATGAAGGAATTC